TAAAGATGATGAGTCCCATGTGTACGAAGAGATTGATGACACTCTCGTCTACACACACCTGCTGAAAAGGGGTGCAGAGACTGGCAACTATGAAGAAACATATAAACCTGTTTCAGGACACAGAGACTCTCAAAAGCCACTGCTCTCATCACAGCAGGGCCCTCCACGCCCCAACAAGCCACCAAGCAAAATCCTAACCCCGGTGGACAATACAATTTACCAGAATATGATTTACCAGCCTAAGGATCAAAGTGAGGACGAACAGCTCCCGAATCTGGGGCCTCGACTGGAGCTAGAGGGAAGCAACTGAGCAGAAGACTGGACTCAGCTTTTTGATTTTTCTCTTGACCCACTTGAACTTTGGGATATTCATTCCCTGTGTGATTGATCGCTGTTCAGCCTCACAAAGCACCTTTTCTGAGTGCAGCTTTTGCACTAAAGTGAGGCACACACAAACAACCTGTCTGCAGCTGTTACAACGTTTTGTCCCAGATTAAAGGCTCTTTTATTGCAAAAGTTGCTCTCAATCATCCCCTGTAGCTGCATCTGACATAAAACATATTTATTTCGTAGTAAGGTCAAATATATTGCTTTTTTAATGTGTCACGACGGGATGAGTCCTTTGTCCTCATCGGAGACTAGTGGCATAATTCCCCTGCAATTAAACTGCATTTCAGTGTATTTTATTTTTAATTTCAGTGTAGTTATTTGACTGCAATAACTTAAAGCAGATACACTGGAATAATGGGGTGAGAAGTCAGGTTTTTACAGAAAACAGAAATTATTTAATTTAATTTTAAGTAGTGCACAAGTAATTTTATAAAGTTCATGACTTATTTATTAGTATTACAGAATATCAGGTATTTTAAAGGAAAGGGGAGAAATTAACTACATTTAAGTAGTGCATTAAAATCCAAAATCTTTTTTTTTTTTTTGCCTGTCCCGTTTGGCTCTTTTGCCATCAGAATTATTGTCTAAAGGCAAAGAAAGATGCCCAACGATTTACTTTACCAAATTGACCATCCCAGCCTTGCCGTAATGGTCCATTTGATTCACCTTTTATTGTTTATTTTATTTTCACTTGCTGAATACGGGACAGACTTGACTGGGGGAAAGAAGGGGAGAAAGAAAGAGGGAAAGAGAAACAGCTGAGAAGAGGGACGGGGGAGAAGGGCAAAAAACAAAAACCAACAGAACGGGCAGGAAAAAAAAAAATGCATCTATCATCACCTGGATCACCTGTGAGAAAGAAAAAAGAAAACAAGCAGAATGAGAACAAGAGTAACTAGAATAAACAACATCACAATGATATATGGAGAATATACAGTAAATATAAATATTAAACATTATTGTGCAGCACATAAGATCAACAGAACACAGTGTGCTTTGAGGTAGGAGCCAAAAAGGGTGTAGTTTGTGGGTGTGATCACCCGTGTGTACACCTGTGAGCATGGACGCGCTTGTTTTTTAAAAGGTTCCTTCATGTAATGATCTGCTAGAGGGTGTGGGGGGGCCACAGCCCCGTCCTCCAGGGCATGAAGCAGGTATGGAGGAGATCAAAACTCCAGACATCCAGAGGCCCCCAGAACACAAGAGACCAAGGAAGACCAACAGAGGGGCAGCCGCGCCACTGTCCCAGAAAGAGCTGAGGAGAGTCCCAGATGAGGGCTCACTCAGCAGCCGCGGAGCAGAAGCCAGGGGGGGTTGCAGTGACGCGCCCGTGAGCTCCGCCGGCAGCCAGCTGCCTGAGTGACCGAGCCCCAGGCCGAGAGGCCGGGGGCACCCCACCTCCGAAGTGGCCCGAGCGAGCCCCAGGCTCCAGGCCCCGATAAGCGGCCGCCAAGGAGTGAGCCGGTGTGTACCTGGACGCCCATCCCCGGACACAAAGAACCACCAACGCACCGATGTCTGAGGGAGTCCGCCACTGGCAGGGGAAGTGGTGGTAGGGGGAGATAGGCCTCCAAACCTTGGAGGGCCTAAGATGTCCCCAGAGAGGTGGCGCCTGACACCCAACCTGACATATAGACACTACGAATCAGTTTATGCCAACAGACTCGATAAACTGATTCGTAAGGCCAGCAATGTTGTGGGGATGGAGCTGGACTCCCTCAAGGTGGTGTCGGAGAGGCGGATGCTGTCCAAGATAAAGACAATGTTGGATAACACCTCCCACCCACTCCATGACATGCTGGTCAGTCACAGGAGCACGCTCAGTGAGAGACTGAGATTACCAAAAGCACCACTGAACGACACAGGAAATCATTCCTGCCTGTGGCCATCTCCCTGTACAACGCATCCACTTAACACACTGTTTGCGCTACAACTACACGTTTCTTTTCCAACTATTTATTTATGAGTGACTTATGTATGTATGTATATATGTATATATTGTACTATTCTTAGTTAGTGTATTGTCTGTCTTGTCTTAATGTTGGTTTAAAATGGAGCACTGTAACAAAAAATAATTTCCCCCAGGGATCAATAAAGTATTCTGATTCTGATTCTGATATAGACACAGACATACAGGCACACACAGACACAAACATCCATTCCCACCCTCATGCTCTCATATGCACTTACTCCACACTCAACCAACGTGGAGATAGACATAAAGAGACGCTGTACACACGATCACACTCCCCAAGCGTACTCTACAAACCGGGTCTAGGTACCCTTGCCCCTGGAGGGGGAACTGCACCCAGACCCAGGTGGTGTTACCCTTTTCCCTGCGGTGGGGAGAGGCAGACCGCCCCGACTCCGCAGCAGCAGGGAGGCCCCACACTCCAGACCGCAGTCGGACGGCCAACTCCTCCTCCTAGCCCCCCGCTCCAGCAGGCCGCAGAGAATGGGGGTGAGAGAAGACTCCAAACCTCCCTCCACCCGCTCATTGTAGTGTTGATGCATGTGTGTTCTAAGGTGCATTTAAAACCCAGGAGGGCATGGAGCTACCTGCCAGAGAGCAGCAGGTAAGCGCATAGTCCCTCCTGCTAGCCCTCAATGTCTACGTGTATTTAAAATTGAGAGGTGGGCAACGACGCCAGGGGTGAGGTGTACACCCTGATGGTAATTTGGACTCCGTGTATCGTGCCCACCCCCAAGATCCTATATGTATGTGTAATGAGAGTGTGAGTAATGTGAATGTCTAAGTTGTGGGATAAAATTGAGGCAGAGGCAGCCAGAAGGGGACAGAGGGGGGGTGCCTCCTCTGCACCCTGGTGACATACCCCTACTCCAAGGCCCTGCATGTGTGGGTGGTTGTGGTGGAGCGGGAAGAGGGAGGCAGCTGGAGATGGGGAGGGAAGGAAGGGAGGGGCAAGTGACCCCTCCCTGGGGCCAGCTCCCCCGCTGACCCCAGTAGGCACCCCCATACTCCGCGACCCGCCAGGGAAAGGGGGCCCAGGCCCATCCAGACCGGGCCCAGTGCAGCAGCGCCGCCCGGCCCCACAGAGCCCGGGACAGTCCACCCAACCCCACCACAGAGAAAACTGCACCCACCCCACCATCCACTCATCTTCCAGACTACATAAGACAATAAACACCCAGGCTGAGATCTTCCTCCACCTCTCCTGTATCTCCCCCTCCTGCAGAGGAGCTCCTGGGGAGAGGAAAGCTCTGCAAGATGTGATCTCTCTTTTCTGGGGATTCGTATCCTGGTAAGAAGTTGATGCCATTAGGATTATAGACAGCAACTTCATAATTGCCTTTCTTCTTCTTCTTCTCCTTCTTCTTCTTCTTGTTCTTCCTGTTTGGCAGGAGAAAAGAGAAGATTGGGATTATTTTCTGTTTTATTCAGCTATTGATGGGTCATCCCCTTTGAAAACACACTAAATAATAGAAATACTCACCTAATCATTACAACTAGCACTATGACAGAAATGACCAGCAGAGTAGCCACTACACCCAGGATGATGGTTAAAGGTGCTATAGAGGAGAAACAATTAACTTGGTTAACATTTGGATCACATTTTCGACTGTGCAGTGGTTGTAAAAAAGAATTCAACAATAAATAGAATTGCTGAAGCTGGAAAATCACTCAATTATCGTTTATCCTCCCGAGTGTGAAGCTACACTACAGCCTCATATTCCTGTGGTGCCTTACACCAAATGCTAAAGTTATCAAGCTGATGTGATCTGGTCACAGTGCTGCAGTTCTTTTTGTCATAAACCAAAGTCTTGGAAAAATCTGGACCTAGTGATGACGAGGTTTTACCCAGACCATCAAGTTTGAAATACCTTCCTAACCTGTTTGCTCTGGGGAGTCATGCTCAAACACAGTGTTGTGACCTCCCCAGGGTGTACCCTGAACTGCATAAGTGGAAGAAAACGTAACATTTGGGGCCTTGTTGTGGTCATCACTTCAAACATCTTCTACATTATGCAATGACAGAGCTTTATGCAAAAATCGATTAAAGCAGTTTTAGATTTCCAAAAGCAAATATTTTACCGGGAGTAACTCGGAATAACATCTCATGTATTTATTGTTAATGAAAGTACAAACTATGAATGAGTGAGTGCTTATAACATACAGACCTTTTGAACGGGGTGGGTAAGCAGACACCTTGAGGGTGAAGGTGAGTCCAGGAGAATCAGCAGGTGCTCTCTCCATCTCGCAGTTCCTCAGCGTGAGCAAAAAGTCTCCCTGGTTCTGGAGCGGCTGTGTCTCATTTAGCCCCAGAACCGATGTCACCCTGCCTTTCTGGTGGTACTCCACTGCTACTTCCTTCTTCACACAATCTGGCTGCGTGAGGTTTAGAAACTGAACATCAACCCTGTGTTTGTCTGGGACCTGAAAGTACCACTCCATGGTGTCGTCATCAGGAAAGCTCACTGGGTAGTCTGGCGAGAGCAGCTCTGAGGAAGAGGTCCCTTTTGGTAAAGTCAGAGAAATTCGGGCAAGAGCTACAACACACACACACACCAAATAAATTGAAATTAAAACAAAAATTGTTAAATGACACTGTAATTTTGAAAGAAACACAAAACAATGAATGTAAACTCACACTTGATTTTTTCCCCCACAGTCACATCAAACTTGTCATTTTGCAGCTTCTGCTCTGCTGGGACGTCCACAGAAAAGCTGCCGCTTTTCAAAATCTGAGCACTGCTGATGGTGCCACTTCTGCAGTACTGCTCCACAGCCGCACTGCCCGTAGACTGGAAGGCCTGGAGGGTGTAGGTGTGTCTGTCTGGACATTTCTCAGATGGATGAATCAGTTTAAGACCCGTGTTAGTGAAATCTACTTGGAAAGCTTTTGGCGCTGCGGCCTCTAGATTCCAGGTAAACGTGCGGTTAAAACGCAGCGCATCAATTGAGCTCAAGTCAGTCTGGATGATGTGACCACTGCATGACTCCGTGGTGCAAGCTGAAAAGAGAAATTGAATCCACCCATGCTGTGTTAGTCCACTCAGGACATTCAGTCTCACTGATAAAATAATCAGATATCACACAGACACTTACTTATACGCCGTACAATTTCTATACTGAATACATCTTGAGGTGTGGAGCATTTGAATTCCACAGTACCTCCTTTTAAATAATTCAGAGATTCAGCGTTGCATTTTTTAATAATCGATCCTGTACACACTTGGCAACCTTTGACCTGATTATTATTTCTGATGTTTATGGTGGCTCCTGGTTCAGCAGTGAGAGTCAACTTCTGGGCCCCTGGAAGCAAACGGAGAGTTATAGTGAGCAAAGGGATAAACATGTTGGGTCCTGTATTATATCTGGAAATAACAGAGTGAAATTACCATTTCGATGAGATAAAATTCACAAATATGACTAACTGCAGTGACAGATGATTTCTCCTATAACTAAGCAGCTCTATATTGTGGAACAAGTTAGATTCCAGATTAGAGATCAAGAGGTAGAAAATCACTGCAGTACTTCGGTAAATAGCTTCACCATTCCTGGAAAATCATTTGGATCTATGTGGGAAGAATGGATGGCATCTAAAGTATTTGTATTTCCCTAATGAGGATCAGTAATTTGTTATTGCAGCAAATTGTTATTGTTCTATAGTCATCATTATATGATCATAAAACAGGACACCTACACTTTATTTGCTGACCTCTTACCAAATTTCTGTGTATGCACCGAGTCTGCACCTGACAGAATAAAATAAATCTATTATGGGGCTGATTGTCACAAGGTATGGAGTAGGTTGTCCCTGTAGTTATCAATGGGGTTTCAGTAAAAAAAAAAAAAAAGGTGAGTTAAAAAAGAATAACAACAACCTTGTATTTAAGCTGTGAATTTGAACCAGTGATAATTACTACGAATTATGTATGTATTATATATGAGAAATCTGCAGTGCTTTAACAACCTTTATTAAAGACACAATAAAAACTGAAGACAGATTCCACATCCATGATTTTGAATTGATGTTTCATTGATATCATTTTGAAAAAGCCCGTTGTTCTGTATATTTGTTTAAACAGACTTTTGGTGCAAGATTTTCCAACTGATAAACCGAATTCAATACCAGGAATTCAATTTGAATAGGGATCCACAGGACATGTGGAACAGCTTAAGTCTACCTTACTACCAAAAGAAGTGCAAACTGTGCATTGCATTGTCATAGGAATGCCTGTATGTATTATGCCATGTATTATTTTGGTTAATTAGAATGTGTATAAAATGTTGTTAGACTTGATTGTAATATCTTTTATACTGCTCTTTAACATGAACCAAGAATGCCTGTTCAATCAGCTTCATGAGAATAATTGGCAGCTATTCGTTATTCTGGTTAATAAATAAAACTCTCTTATCAAGGAGTGCTCTCTTAGTGCTGCTGTTTATACCTAAGGTGATGGCTGCACATTGGAGCTCTGAAACTTTAAACTGGATACATTTAAGCATTCAAATCTCGTTCCCCACAGCCTAATAAAGGAGATGTGAAAATTGCTTCAGTTTCTCAGCAGATCAAGGTGAAATTAAATTGATTGATTGAACAGGTATTCTCTGTGTCCTCTGTTCTAATAATTACAACAAAAAGTTTCATTAGTGCTGCTATCATCTTAAATATATTAATAAAAGTTTCTGGAGGTCATCCAAGGTCCACCAGCCCCTTTCTTTACTGTGAAAAGGTTGTGAAACATAAACCAGTATTGTATACATATATATATAAAACAATCGCGACCTTAACACATGTTGTAGATGAGAGAAGCAGTGAAAACACGTCGCTTCCAGCCAGAGAAACTCGGGGCATAACCGGCTGTGTTTTAGTTTTTAATCTGTCAGCTGCGGACTCTGTGAGAGTAAAGATTAACTATAAAAACATACTGCTTTAGGATCATACTTTAATGCGTATAAAACAATAACAATAAAATAATTCATTATTAAGTTGCGTTTTAGAATTTGTATATTTCTGCTGTTCATCAGGGAAACACAAAGACTTTGGAAGCCATTAAAAACAAAAGTCTCATGTCCACACTCAGAGGTCTCAGAGATCTTCCGGGAAATGCTGCGCTATTTTCTCGAAAACTGATCAGTCAGTGGTGATTCATACCCACTGATCTCCCGTTGACCACTTCCGCTGTGGACTCGTTATATGGCGTGGCGATTTACCGAAAACAGCCGTACTCAGTATCACCTGACACTCACGCTCTGAGAGCTTCTTGAAAGGGATTTTCTTGCTTCAGCTGTTTTCAGCTTCTGAGTGACATTAGTGTCAGTATTTAACGGACAGATCCACCACCACACCAACATTTCACACCAAATCTCTCCCACTGGTTCATATTTAAGTTTCAGGTTACCTGACACGGTGGAGACAGTGAATGTAAGAAGTAAAATCCACAGAAGGGCCGCGCCTGTTGATACGGACATGCTGCCCTACAGTGAAGCTCTGAAACCTTCAATCCTGGGGTGTTAACTGAAGCTCAGCTAGTTGTTGTTGACGCCTAATTGTGAAAGTGTGCCAGCAAGGAGGGAGTGTTTACGCAAGGTAAAGATTAAAGGCGCGGTCAGGAGGACCATATTGGCAGGTGTAGGATACAGATGCGTTAGGACAGCCCTGTAGCCCAGTAAAAAATAAAATCCTGAAAAGTATCGTGGAGAATTTTTTAAAAAGAAGCTAATATACGAGAACTGTTGCCTGAAACGACAACTCACCCTTAATCACGTCATTTCAATAAAGATGTCACGATTTAAGATCGCATTGTTATAGAGCCTTAGTTAATGTGAGCAGGACGCCTAACACCTGTGGCTGTCTTCTGTTTCTTGTGAAGTTTTTTAAGCTTTTAATAGATCGTTGAGTGCAAAACAGTAACCCAAAGGATATATTGAGGTATTTGCTGAATAAGAAATTGATAACTATAAATATGGTTACTCCCAATTGGAAAGATTTACAATGTGGAAACATAAACGATCTTTGAGCTTTCTAAAATTATATTATGAAGAAATCCCCCCCAAACGATAAACAGCCTTGTGTGGTTGCTCAACTGTGAGGAAAAAACCCTGACTTTTAGTTTCTCTTCACAGGACAAACAGGTTAGTCAGGATGTGTTACAGTATCTCAGTAACCGTACATACGGTACATGCTGCTCAACCCATTTCCAAGTGGCACAGAGACAAATGGAAACCTTTGAGTGGCAAATGGCATTTTATTTGTAGGTTTGGTGTAAAACTTTTAGACTATTTCCCAGTATTGTTAATGTATCCCAGCTTGTCTAGATTCTAAAATGCAACTTAATAATGAATTATTTTATTGTTATTGTTATATACGCATTAAAGTATGCTCATAAAACATTATGTTTTAATAGTTAGTCTTTACTGTCACAGAGTCCACAGCTGACAGATTATAAACTAAAACAGAGCCTGTTATGTTCTGAGTTTCTCCGGCTTGAACTCCTGTGTTTTCACTGCTTCTCTCATCCACAACATGTTTTAAGCTCATTGGAGATTCATTACTGGGGTTATTCTAGGAAGCAGGTTTAGCTAAGTCCAAGTTTGTTATTCCCGAGATGAGGGAAACTCGGGTTTTCAGTTCCAGAAAGTTAAGTTAAACTTTAACTCTGAGTCAGTTACCAGGGTAACAGAGTCTGAACCTAACCTCCTCACTGGCAGGTTTTCTTCAGCCAACTCCTTGTTCAACAAGAGAGAGAAAGCAAAGAGAAACTGGCAAGAATCGACATGTCAGAGTCAACCATAGCTTCTGCTTTGTCCACATTCATTGACGATATTTTTGTGAAAGCTGTAAGTTTATGTTTTTCGTGATTTTCTAGTTGAATACAATGTGTTTGTGTGTGACTGTCAGTGCAAAGGAAGAGTTAGGTAGGTGAAGAGAGCTGCACTTACAGTATTTACACCTGTGTGGCAAATGTCTGGTAAAGATATAGATAATGAAATGTAATTATTACTAAAATATACATAATAAAAAATGAAAGCTGAAATTGATTCAGTTTAGTAATTTTGTCTGTTCTTATAAAGGCCCTGAATGCTGTGATATATGCCAACTGCCAGATGATCTCAACGTGTTTTACACCCGCTTTGAGACCCCCAGACCTCCCAGACTCACCAGACCTTCCAGTCCTCCCATACCTGCCAGACCTCCTAGATCTCCCAGACCTCCAAGACCTTCCAGAACCCCCAGATCACCTGACCCTCTCTCCTGCCAGCGGTCTCAATAGACCAAGTACACAAGGTCCTGAGGAAGATCAACCTCTGCAAGGCAGCAGGACCAGACAACATCCCTGGACGAGCCCTTAGAGCATGTGCTAACGAGCTGGCTGATGTTCTCACCTCCATCTTCAACCTTTCCCTCAGCCAGAGCATTGTTCCCACATGCTTCAAGACCACAACTATCATCCTTGTCCCCAAGAATAGCCCAGCCACCTGCCTAAACGACTACAGACCTGTTACACTCACTCCAATCATTGCAAAGTGATTTTGAGAGAGTGGTGATGGCCTACATTAAGAGCAATATTGCACACACTCTGGATCCCCTGCAGTATGCCTACCGGCCCTGTAGCAGCCCTTGGCATCAAGAACGACAAAAGGGTCTCTAACGGGTGCAGCCATTTATTTCCTCACCACACACGACTCATTCTCTGGACGTTGAGCACCGTGAAAACTATAAAATAAGAAAAAATTGATACCCGTACAGTCCTTTTGAACTATAACAATGAGCAATAACAACAATGAGCTTAAGTTAATTCAGGTAAGTTCAAACAAGTAATTCTGAGATATACAGTCACAGATTAAATAAAACAAAAGGGGTTTCAAACAGGGGTTAAATAAAATATAACAACAGATCACCTCTCATCACATACCTCAGTCCGCTTGCCAAGGGTGCAAACTCCGGTGAACACTTAAACACTTCGGCCCTGCTTCGGGTGCTGCTATAGCGTCACTGCAGTGTCATCCGCTATAGCGTCGGACGGCATTGCTGCTGCCCTTCACTATTCCTTCTACCACCTGGAGAGTAATGACTCCTACATCAGGGTACTCTTTGTTGACTACAGCTCCACCTTCAACACACTCACAAACTCATCCACAAACTGTCTACACTCGACCTGCACCCCACCCTCTATGACTGGCTACAGGACTTTTTGACTGGCAGGCCTCTGTCTGTCAGGATCGGCAACAGCACCTCAGTTATTATTATCACAAACACTGGCGTACCACAGGGTTGCATCCTCAGTCCCATCCTCTACACCCTGTTCACCCACGACTGTGTTGCCTCCAACAAAGACAACAGCATACTGAAGTTGGCGGATGACACTGCAGTGATTGGTCGCATCACTGGTGGGGACGCGGCGGCTTACAGGAGAGAGGTGGCCGGTCTGGTGTCATGGTGTGAGGACAACAACCTTACCCTTAAGCGTAATAAAACAAAGGAGATGATAGTGGACATGAGGAAGAAGAAGAGGCCTCACCAGCCGATGTGTATCCGGGAGAGTGAACTGGAGAGGGTGAGCAGGTTTAGGTACCTGGGCGTCCACATCAATGAGGACCTCACCCGGACACGGAACACCACACAGCTGGTCAAAAATGCTCAGCAGGGGCTGTATTTCCTGAGGAGGCTGAGGAAATTTGGTATGTTGGCCAAGATCCTCAGTAGCTTTTATAGCTGCACTGTGGAGAGCACATTAACCAGCTGCATCACTGCATGGTATACCAGTACTACTGCTATGGACCGCAAACGCCTGCAGAGAGTGATAACAACTGCGGAGATCATCAGGACTCCACTGCCCTCTCTGCAGAGCATGTACCATCACAGTCCAGAGGAGAGCTGCCTCCATCCTTAAAGACCCCACACACCCTCAACACGGATTGTTCACACGTATGCCCTCGAGACGAAGGTTTAGAAGTGTGAAATCCAGAACATCCAGACTCAACAACTCCTTCTTTCCCACTGCTATCAGACTCCTGAACAGCTGACCTACCTCAACTGCAATTTGCATATCAGGACACTTTGCACACTAAGTTCATTTTGCACATTAAGCTACTTTGTACATCCATCTACATCGACATCTGCATACCTCACTTGTCTTCACTTACTTATTTTTGTACTTATTTATTTATCTTTCATTATTTTTTATCCTTATTTTTTTTACATTTGTATTTATCTTAATATCTTATCTTATTTTTATCCTTATTTATTTTGTTCCTTTAACCCTTACTTAACTGGCATTTGTGTATTGACAGCAAAGCAAGAATTTCATTGCACAGAAAAATTTTATTTCTTCTGTACCCATGACAATGAACACTTTGAATCTTGAATCTTGCGAAACAATCGATGAGTTCAAAAACCCTCAACCTGGAGGAAAAAGCGCACATAGCCAGATGATGGAAGCCATGATTGTTTGATGGAAAAGTGCCTGAAAAAGCAGAAAAAATGCTTCCGTTTCTTCTGGAGGAGGGACACTGCTCCTTCCTCACCTGATGTAGCCTCTTCTTCCTCCTTCCATCTTAATTTTCAGCTCTCCTCCGCCCTCTCTCCCTGTATCTTCTAACACCTCGCCCCTTCCTTCTTCATCCTTTTTCTTTTTTCACCTTCATCCCCAACCAGTCCTGACTGTTTCTTTAACCTTTTTTTTTTCAACTTATGTGACAAAAGCATAAACTAACTTAATTTATCCTTTGAGAATTTTTCATCTAATCTTTACAGACTTTTTCAAAAACATTTTCAAACATTCAGATCTGTCTTTTACTTTTTTGGGAAACCTCATAAATGGTGAACTAAGAACCCTGGAATATGGTTTGAAACATTGACATTTTAGACTAAAAAGGACCATGTTTTGCTTTCTGGCAGCTTTTATTTTGAAACTGGAACACTAATCAGTGCTTCTTCACACCTGTGGTGCATGCGCTGCACAGTCCCCATCGGGAATCCGCTGTGCAACAACCCTTACTTACCAATGCAGAAATTTCAGACTGTTACATCAGCGGCGCTAAAGCTAATGCTAAAGCCACAGTGACTTTGACAGTGTTCATTCGGAGGGACGTGTTGTTTTATGTGAGACACTAAGGCATCAGAGTGTGCACGGACACTCTACGTTTGACTGATATTGACGCTTGGGTATGGTGTGTGAACGCTTTTTCCTCTGAACTGTAAGTTTTGTGGGAGAGAATAGTTTAGGCCCCTCCCACTATGCCCCTGCTTTACCACATGAGTCAGATGTAGTGAACTGTTACTGCAAAACTCTACACACGAATTCCTACATTTATCAGTGCTGACACCATGTGGTCACTCAGAAAGCACTACTACGGTGGCCCTGAGAGGCCAAACGGACTGCAACTTCAGAAAACACTTGCAAAAAGAAAAATGCTGCAAAAATGCAAAAAGAAAAATGCTGCAAAAAGAAAAATGCTGCAAAAAGAAAAATGCTGCAAAAAGAAAAATGCTGCAAAAGCACACAAAGCACAACGGAAATAGGAAAAAAGACAACGGAAATGTTTCTGGGGAGACAATAACCGAACGGACCAGTTGCACGAACCAAAACATGTATGTATGGCTGTATCCCAATTCAGGGACTGTTTCCCAATTCAGGGTCTGCAGCCTTAAAGT